AAATAATAGTTTTCATCCATAGCAACATTTAGCCTCATAATTGCATGTTAGGTAACTTTCGGACTCGTGCGCTTCGTATATGTGAAAACAGGTAATTAACCCATCATTCCGGGCACAATTTTGTTTTTGGAACGAAGTACTAGATTAATAAATTTAAAATTGGAAACCCGAAATTTCAACACAACCCGGTGAAATTCATGAGGTGTATTATTTCACGATATGGATTCGTAAAATTTAAGGCACAATCTCAACATTCAAATTGTAATTGATAGACTCCGGCTTTATCTAGTTAAGTAATTTTATCTTTGTTGTTCAGTAACTGATTTCTGGTTGAATTAATTTTTATAAATGAAATATTAACATTTTTATTTACTCTGTTTAGTATGTTTTTAATTTTGTAAGATAATGTTTCAATAAAATCCAGAAAATAATATCTACCTATGTCTTCCTTAGTATCATGGTCCGTTTTGAACAACGAGCAACATTGTTTTTTTTTTAATTTTGTATCTTATTTTGTCAATTAGATTGTGGATTAATTTTACTTTAAAGTCATTATTTATTGCAATTTGTTTTATGGACTGAAGTTCTTTATTATAGTTTTCATGGTTTAGATTAGAATTGAACAATATTTCAATTAAAGATGCAAAAGTTGATATTTTATGAATCCATAGGTGGTTGGAAGAATTGCAAATAATGTTGTCTGTGTATGTTTTATTGGCCCAATATCTTACAAAATTAAAAACATTCTTGGAGAAATATTAAACACGAGAGGCCAAAAGTTGCTATAAACGAAGTCATTCTTTTCATCTTTAGTACACTTTGACCCCATATGGATTCATACAAAACAACTTTCAGGCTCACAGTCCAAGGGGACATTAAATTAGTAACCCTTGTTTTAAGAATACCAAATCGTCTTTCAAATATCGGCGGATTGAGAAATTAATAAATCAAAGGGACAGATTTATAATTATGTTGTTTACTGTGGAGTATCTACGAAAAAAATCCAAAGACTGTGATTCCAAAAGTTAATCTAAATCAAATAATAGTTTTTATCCATAGCAACATTTGGGTTCATAATTACTGCTCCATTAAAATATTAAACTGGTTTTTCAAATTTCGCTTGTTTCTTGGATAAAATAATATAAAATACGAGAGGCCAAAAATTGCTACAAATGTAATTAATGATTATAAAAGAGTATAAGTAATTATTTTCATCTTTAGTACACTTTTGTCACACAAATTCATACAAAACAACTTTCAGGTTCACAACTCAAGCTAAAGTTAAATTAATTGTCGTTGTTTTAAGATTATCAAATTGTGATTCAAATACCGGAAGAAAGAAAAACAAATCTAAGAAACAATTTCATGGTGATACTATTAACTGTAAAGTACCCATGAAAAAAATCTAAAGAATGCGATATCAAAAGTTACTTTATATCAAATAATACATTTCATGCATAGTAACATTTGATCTTATAATTACATGTTTCGGAATAATGAGCTTCATATCTATCATTTCAAGTACAATTTTTGTTTTTGGAAATGAAATTCCAAGTGATTAGAAAATAAAACAGAAGCTCAAAAATGTATGGAAACGATGCATGACGTTCCAAGATATTAATTCCTAACATTTAAAGCACACCCTTAAGCAAATATCCAGATTGGCTCCATAAGTAGAAAAATAATTTAAGAGATTAACAAAAACTTGTACTGCTAATTGTAGAAGTGCCTGTACACACAACCATAAAAGTAAATTTCTTACTCCAACTTAAACTGGTATTTTAAAATTGACATGTACGCCTTTCTTGGAGAAATATAAAAAGAGAGGTTAAAAGCTGCTAAAAAATAGTAATGTTTCTTTTCTCGAAATCGCGCAGTAATGTGCTTTTTCTATGTTCAAAAATCGGCACAGAAATTAAATGCGGTGTTGTCATATTAGTATTATCTACCTCCACAATTACATTTTACAAGGTTATAAATTGTTTTTCGGTTTAGCAGTAATTCTATACTCTTTGATAACCCTTTTTATTAGTTATTAGAAACACATCCGGTTTATTAATTTTATAAATATAATTTATTAACTAAATTTGCGCGTAATCTCGCAACGTCGCAACCTTGCATGGCAACAGCGGATTTCTTGAAGTGCAGCGACATTCTATGGCAGCGAACAATGTGTATCCACATAACCTGTAATAAGTTTTTGTTCGGTGCAGAAACAACCATGGAAAACATTATATGGAGAATATCTCATTTTGCATACGAGTATTTCGCTGAAAAAGAAAATTCTGTGAAATCAACATTTTGGGCTACATAGTCGTTGTTAAAGTCAACTCTGTTAATATAAAACAGCATAGATATAATCTAAGTACACCAAGTTCTCAAGCAAAAAATATAGGTTATGTTTCCCAGAAATCAAATATATTTACAAGAGAAAACTTACGAAAATTTTTAACAGAGGCCCGTGATTAATGTACCTAATGTCAAAGGTAATCTCAAAGAAGGTCAATCACATTGTCTATAAAACATAATGTTTTAGGTATATTTTTTATTCGAAGTTGTAGGAGTATGCGGAAAGGAAGAATTTGAACAATTTTCTTGTATCTACATAACCTATAATAAGCTTTTATTATTATTACAGAACAGATTATTAGCTTACATGCCCATTTTAAATGAAAGTATGAAGCATACCTCTTATTTTTCGGCACTTTTAATATTTTTGCTTGCAGAAAGATCTGCAGCAATTGCAAAATAGAGATGGATAGCAATAATAACAAGCAGTTTACATGCATTCGACCGAACTTGCAAAAACTGGCAGATAATATATCAAATTTATTACCTAAAAACTCAGCCACAGTTTATGAAAAGCGGTATGAATTTTTTTTTTTTTGCGCAGAAACAACCATGCAAAATATATGGAGAACACCTCATTGCATACGAGTATTTCGCTGAAAAAGCAAATTCTGTGAAATCTTTAACACTTTGGGCTGCATAGTCGTAGTTAAAGTCAACTCTGTTAATAAAAAACAGCATAGATATATCTAAGTACACCAAGTTTTCAAGCAAAAAATATAGGTTACATTGCCAAGAAATCAAATATATTTACAAGAGAAGACTTACCAAAATTTTTAACAGAAGCCCGTGATTAAATGTACATGATGTTAAAGGTGATCTCAAACAAGGTCAATCACATTGTCTATAAATCATTATGTTTTAGGTTTATTTTTTATTAGAAGTTGTAGGAGCATGTGGAATGGATAAATTGAAAAATAATGACGGCATTCAAGACAAAAACGATACGCTAATAATTAAAATTCCAACGTCTAAAACTGGCAAAGCACGAGAATTTACAAATATGTGTAAAAATATTTATCCAATTGAAATATAGTAAAAATACCTAATTTTAAGACCGCACCATACACCAGACAAATCATTATTTATACATTACATTTGGATAGTGAATGCAGCAGCTGCTGCATTGTACAAATATACCTGCAAACACACTGTAACAAATTATGCAGACACCTCTTTTGACTAAAAGATATATATTTAACTTTATCCATACGTTGTCAACTTTGTTAATAATTGCAATCTCTAACTTCATAAGAAATATGAATAATCTACTTTGGTGTTTTATAGTAGTATTAAATGTTCATAGAATATAATTGCACTTACTACGAAGTAAGCTTTCCTAGTGTTAAGTTGTTTTCTTTTCTCTTTGATTATCTTAATTTCTTCAGCCTCTATGTGGCTGTTTTAATTCCAAAAAATTGTTTCTGAATAAACTGATTCATACCACTTTTTCTTTCTTTTACTCGGAAACAGTTTAAACTATAACTCCAAATATTTACCTACTTTACAACGTGTCAAGCATTCGGTTGTTGTAAATGATGCAACCATAAATACAAATTTGAACACTGATATGACAGGTTTGAGGCTAGGATGTGGTTTTCATATACTCCCATTACTTGTTGCCTAAATCTGGCGCGAGGCCAAAAGTTATTATTGACGTATATATATATATATATTTCGCTACAAATAAAGAAATGGAATTGCACAAAGGATTTCACATGCCAAAAGTTTTATCAACAAATTTCTTAACTATGATTTTTTGGTACATTAAAAAATAACTTTATATATAACTATTCACATAAAGACACATACAGTAATACAATTCCATATAACTGAAGAAAACAAAACAGTAATGAGAGTTAAAAGAAAACAAATGAAGGTAAAGAAAAAACAAAAAGTACCTAGTGTGAAAGGAACTACAAATCAGTAGATAAGATTTACAGAAGGGAGAAAAAGAGAGGAGACAACTCATAAGGAGAGAAATAAAAACGACAAATAAAAATGTTTGTCTCAAGGAGAAAGATTTGATAGTTGATATAAATTAATATATAGTTTTAAGCGAATTTGAAATTTTGAACAGGAATGAAGAGATACATCATAGTTACAATTTTATCATTTTCATGATGATCTAAATGTACATTTAAAATAGTAGGGTAGTTTCGAGGTTACTTATTAATAAATTTATCACTTGTAGAACAATAAACACAAATTGCAAATGATCAGTTTTGAAACGTGGAGAAAACATGAAATTAGTTATACGTAAAAGTGACTCAATATCAAATTATCTTCTTAGCTAGCGCTCATGGTGTAGATAGAAATTCATATAAACTGAAAGACTTCAGCACACTTAGAAACAATATACAGAACTCCACAATGTTAGTTAGTTTCCGTTACGATTACCGACAGTAAACTGTAACTATATTGGAAGAGTGCATAATGCTGTCGAAAAAAGACGATTTTCTATTAAAATTTTTCCCATGAATATTAAACAATCGATATTAAAGCTACAACAAAGATATAAAACTGATAAACTGGCAAGTTTTTGCAGAAATCGATACGAACTTCCAAAAGTTGCACGACTTTTCTCACAGATGGCGATATGAATTCATGAACGAACACACTTTAAGATATGTATTGCACATTTCAAGTACCTGCTCGTCAAAAGGTTCCACAATTCCCAGGGCTTTCAAAGTTTCTTGAAAATCTGCATTTTCCATAGCGTTGACTGCATAATCCATTATAGGGACTAATGGAATGCCTTCACAACTATCATCGTCTTCAAAATCTTCAATAGCATCAGCAAGACTCTCCTTAAGCCACTCGACTGCCTCTTCGAGTCCTGTAAGAAAAAATATTTCGATGGATAAAACATTATCATATCATAAAATAGTTGAAAAGTGTTTTATATGAAAGATGTGTCAGAGTGAATAGTTTAATACTAATCATATAAATAAAATGTATTTTCTAAGGGAAAATTGGAAGCAGTTTTAACAATAACGATATGTACAAAACTGACATGTGTAAAGACCTATAATTGTTTAATAGTAATTCTTCATAGATCAATTGCGTGAATTTCTGATTAAAAAAATATATTTAAAATAACCGAGCCATAGTATTGAAACAATGTTGGTTCATTTAAAATTAATTGGTTATTATGCTCGACGAGTCCTGAAGATTTTAGATGAGCTGAAAAAAAAAATCGCCGTACAAAAAAATGAATGAAATAACTTGAAAAAAGAAAATAAAAGAGCAAGATTTGGGATAAGAAAAGCAGAGGTATGATGAGAACGACAAGGTGGCAAGCTTAAGGTTTTAAATTATTTCACGTCTACGGACTTTTTTTTTTAAGTTTACACTTCTTTCCTTTCAATATTAAGCATCTTCATTCAGTTAAGAGAAACCTTTTATTCACGTTTAGAAAATTCACATGTTTCGTTCATAACTTATTTCTTTTTTTCTTATTCTAATGTCATTCTGAAAAGGTTGTTTGTCAAACGAAACAATTATTCAACAAATTAATTGCAAATTAAATTATTACAGTAAAAGTAATCACATGGTTTAAAACAGATATTGTGCCAAATGCACGTGCTTTGGCATGGCAGCCTGGATAAAATATTGTTCGATTCTGTGGAAACCCGTTGTACTGTAGAAAGCATTCGCACGATTTTAAATACAAAAATCAAGTATATAGTGCTTTTAAAATCTGAATTAATCCACATAGCCTCGAGATACACAAATGTCTACGATAATATTTTTATATTTTAATTCTATACCCTACAGTCTAAACAAACTGAAACTGATCGTTAATCATTACTAAAAAAACAATAATTGTCATTCGTAAAGATACAAATTTCTGAAATTTTTATTAATTTCTATAGTTGTTTTTCTAATGTTGGCACACCTAATTCTTCTGTATAACAAAATGGCTTTAATAAAAAACTTTAACTGATTTTCTACGTATTTTTAAAATATGTATAGAATAATTTTATCTACATTCTGTTTATCTATTTATCTATTAAGGTGAAATGAAGAATTTCTTGTGTTCCATACAAGTAATTAGGTATGATTTTTTCCTAGATTACAAGTGTAGTTGATAATATAATCTTTCTTAACATTATGATCGTAAATTAATGAAATCTTTAGACAAAATTTTCTGAGAATACGCAAATAAACAAATATAACTATGACCGTAAGACTTTTTGCTAGCTAATACGTACTTCTCTCGGATGTTGTTATGATCGTTAACTACGAAAGAGATAATCTGTGAGGTTTGTTCTTTTTGTTTTATAATTTATTTAAGATTGTCGAACATCTCCTTAGTCAGGTTTATGATATTCTAAGAACCAGCGATTTCAGTGTTACACGAATATGTGGAAAAAGTGACACTGGCTTCACTTTACAGACATTACAAAATGCAGACCAAAATTGCATATACGATCGTCTAAGGGATTGTAAAGACGGGAATAAAGGTTATGCAGCACTGAAAATTTCAGAGCCTGGGATGAAGTCAAGAGACAAATATAAATAAAGTAAGCGGTGTTGTAGGAAACTACATACTTGAACACCATCGCATTACTTGCTCGTAGATAACTCTACAAAAACTCGTTAAAAAAATTTCCACAACGCCGTTAACAAAAAGTAGTAATTATGAAATAAAAACAGTAAACATATGCGGCGGGAATCCAAGTTCCACGGGTGCGCGATCCGCATAAGCGCGGATAATATAAAATATATTTAACGCAGATAACCAACGGACAAATGTACTCTCAGTAACATGCTTAACCTCGAGTGTTTATGTTTATACTTCGAAAGAATTTGACTATTAGCATGTTGAGGTAACAAACATCAGCGGTGGCATGCCTTTGTGTTAAAAGAAAATAAAGTTTGATTGATTTTGTCTCCTTAAAAGAGAGAATAAGATTTGATATTTCGAGCACCAAGAATATGATTATGATGTTTTTGAATGAGAATCAGGTATATTTTAAAGGGTCATATGTAAAAACGAAACTGCAGAAGGTTGTAGCAAGAAACCGTTATTATCAATTTGGTGGAGCAACATACTGCATTAAGGTTATTTCATGTAATTGTTCATTCCAGTTCATGAATTAAAATCTTACATTCAAGGAAACAATCCAAGAAGTGGGAAAGAAGTAGTTCTAACTAAAAAAATAACAGTGCCGAGAAAAACAAGGAAAAAACGTCGAATGATTTAAGTTAAACCTTTCATCACTAATGTGAAAGGTATTAAAGATTTTTATTCATTTTTCTAGAAATTGCAATCACCTATTGCATTTTTTCCCTAATTCTGTTAATTTTCTTACTTTATATCATTACGCCTTTAGACCAAACACTTCGTTATGTCGACTGTCTGGTTATTTTAGGATCTTTATAATTACATATCTCCATGATTATCATATGCAGAGAATGCGATTTAAAATTTTCACCTAGCAAGCTACAGACTATATTTTAAAGTTATTGTTCTGAAAATAAATTAGCAGCCTTTGTTGTTGAGCTGAGAACTTTTAAACTTTAGGGCTGTGTTATAAAGTAAATTACTTAAAGGAACTATCATGTTTATAGCATCGATATTTTAAGCAAATGTTAAGGTAAACATTCTTCACTACTATTGTTATTAAAGTTATTATCTCTCAGGTAATTCATTTAAAGTTTAAGTTTCTTAAGAAAATTTATTTAACAAACTTTAATAAGAGCATATAAGTCTGCTATCAAACTAAACGACTCAGTATTAAATACTGTTTTCAACTGATTTAATTCTCACGATCAGTCAGTCGTATAACCTTCCACTGCATTCACCATACCAATAATATCGAGCGAGCAATATAATTTGTAATTGAGTTACATTTGAAATAACATTTGAACAAGGTACGTGTGTCTTACCAAATTCTGACGATTAATGATGTCTACAGTTCCGCCGTTTAGCTACAATAATGGGTTATGGAAATTTTATTAAAATTAATGCTAAAAATTTTAAATTGTACTGAGTCGTTCAGTTTTGCAATTCTGCAGTTTTTAAAATTCATCCCGATTTTTTACATGATTTGAATATGTATTCGGCTGTGGTATTTGCAGTAAGACCTTGACCGATATTGGATGTAACTTGAACCACTGTTCAACTGTTCGTTACGTTTGAGGTTAAGTTGATTGTGTTTTCCAAGTGTTTTCGAACTGAATTGTGTCTTTTTCTGAATTCTTTAAGTAACTGAAGGGCCGTAACGAACGGTTTTTTTTCTTTTGTTGTGTTTTGTAGTGAAAATCCTCTTAAAAAAAACAGTTCTTTTCAGAACTAACTTGTTTTCATTTTGGGCCGTTTTTTGGCTTAAATTTTCAACAAATTCAAGAACTTGATGAAAAATGGCTTTTACATTGGAACATAAGACTTTTATGATTGAGTCTTACTTTCGAAATGGTCAAAAAATCGACGGACAATGGCAATATTCAATTCCTGACACGTGGACTGAATTTAGAGAGCAATTTCCAAACAATATTGTGGATTATGCTAATTTTTGCAATGCTTTAAAGCGTAGTGTGGGACAGTTCAGAGAAACTGGGTCTTTGCAAAGAAAACCAGGAACTGGCAAAACAAAAAACAAGAGAACTCCTGAAAATATTGAAAATGTTCGAGAAATCATGGACGAAGTCCCAACAACGTCTGTTCGTCATTTGCAACAACAAGTGGACTTGTCATATGGCACTTGCCGAACAATATTGAAAAAAGACTTGGGATTATTTGCATATCGATTACAATGTGTGCAAGAATTACATCACAGGGATTTTCCAATCAGACGTGAATACTGTGAGTGGTTTTTGAACACATTTGATGATGAACTGCTAGAGAAGACATTTTTTACGGATGAAGCTTGGTTCCACTTGAGTGGTTATGTTAATTCCCAAAATATGCGAATGTGGAGCCAAGAGAAACCACCTTTTTATGTTGAGGCCCCACTTCATGCACAAAAAATTAGTGTTTGGGCTGCAATTAGCCGAAGACGCATCATAGGCCCATTCTTTTTTAATGGTAAGAAAATGAAAACTAAAGTTTTAACTTTCTTCCTCAACTTATCATTTTTTAGGCAATTTAACAGCCATTCGATATCTGGAAGAAATTTTGAGGCCATTCATAAGAGAACTCCATGATGATGAATTAGCTTTTGGTTTTTTCCAACAAGACGGTGCCACAGCACATACTGCTCAAATAACAATAGCGACATTACGAGAGTTTTTTGACCAAAGAGTCATAAGTCGAAATACTGAACACATCTGGCCTCCAAGATCATGTGATCTTACACCTGCTGATTTTTTTCTCTGGCCGCATTTAAAGAACACAATTTATTGTACTCCTGTTAATGATTTGGAAGATTTAAGGAACAGAATAACCCAAAAAATCAACGAAATAAACAACAATGAGGTTATGTTGAACAATGTCATTGATGCAGTTCGAAGAAGAGCTTTGCTGTGTTTGCAAGAAAATGGGGAACATTTTCAGCATTTATTGTGAATGGGGACTTTATAAAGTGTTTAATGCTCTAATGGAAATTAATTGTGAATTTAAGTGTTTTTTTTTTTATTAAAAAGTAAATGATGAAAATTCAAAATTTTGGTTTGTTTTTGGGTGAAAAATGTGTTTGCACAAGTCGATTTACCTCATTAAAGTGAAAACAAACCATCATCGATTTAAAAGTCGATTCCTTTACTGTGGTCAGACTTTATGGAATTATATTCACCGAATTCGCCCCCACATTTCAGGATACGTTCAAAACAAAGAAGATGAGTCTTACTAAATAAAAAATCTGAAGATTTAAATGGTTAATCATTCATTAATTCATTATTTAAATTCCGTTCTGAGTCCACGCCATTTTTTTCTTTCGATCTGTCAATTTAATTATGAAGTTATGAACTATGTGGATCAATCATCGACGTGACCTTTCCGAAACAAATGAAAATCAAGAAATGACTCGATTACAAATTATATTGCTCGCTCGATACAAATGCCATGTTTAAATTGCTCGTTGTGTTTTGTTCCTCGTACAATTACGCGTGCAATACCATATTCTTATATCAGCTTCCAGTCTTATATTATATAGAACATATTAAAGGATGAACATATATAATTAGCGTTTTCATTCCAATAAAATTTTATTTGATGAAAAAGTTATGACGTAGATATTATTAGGTCATGTGCAATGACAGAAAATTAACCTCTTGTTTGCGTTTGTATGTACGATAGGTATGTAACTTTCAACATAATGAAATTATTTTGTCTCAATATTTGGTCGAGTGAACCTTGACAAACAACTATTTCCCTGAAACAACACTGAGATTTACATAAATTTCAAAGTGGCACGCGTCATCTGTCAAGGACTGATAAGGATCTTTATCAGAGGCGTCGTTCGAGGATTGTTGGCTTAAATGACACTCACAGACTATAAAATTTTATTAGTATACAAAAATAGTGCATTGTGTTTCAAGTCATCATTTTTTAACAACTGCAGTAGATTGTTTTCTTGGTGAAATAAAATAAATCGAGGTTGACTCTTCACACCTATGATTTAAAGCCACATGGAAGTTGCAATATTTGATGAATTCGCTCTTCTGATTTCGATAGATGTATGTTTATAGAAGAAAACATTTACATTTTTAAAAAATGTTACGTTTGTCCTTTACGTTTGCTAGTAGATTTAAATATGGGTCGCGCTCAGTTAGAGAATTCACCTCACTACAAACACACCTAAATCCTAAATCTACGTAATGTTGATGAATTTTGGTCTACCAATCTAGTTTTGGTTTTATACCGTAAACCGAACACTCAGCTAATAAGGAGGCGTAATATGAAATAAATGTCACTGTTATTACATAAAATCGACTGTTTCCAACTGTGATCGTACTTACCTTTTCCGATAAGGTTGATAAGCAATCTCGCGATTCGTGTGTCCGAAACCGGCCCCTGCTTTTTCTTAACCTGTGAAGCCTTCTTCTTTGCAAGGACCCGACTCTGCTGCGTGCGCGTTTTCTGAACCGAAGAATTTTCAGCTTCATTAACATCGTCGTCATCATCATCTGATCCATTACTTTCCGCTTCGTTGTCGGAATCGTGCGTTCGTCGCGCAGCTGTAAAAAAGCAAGAGTAAATTGTTAAGCGCTATCATCTTTCATAATAATTGTTTTTTGTTCATCGAAGCGTAACCCCCCTGAGAGTATTTCAACTTCTGTAAAGCGATACCCACCAACGGTTGATTGCCAATTTAATCGGATATTGTTTATACAAAGCTCCTTGACTTTTTCATGGTCGCTGTGGGCTTTTTTCGCCTATTGTCTTCGGGAAATAGTAAATGTCAATATTAAAATGAATAATGAAATTCAATTTGGCGGCGGCGCATGCAAACAAAAGCCCGCACCGGCAGTGTTTATCTGAACCGTCTGTGATTATTCCTCATTGTGCGAATACAACCCCAATGTGTGCACTGAAACGTGCATAACTCCTGTCGCCCTACTACCCGGATTTGCCGCTTGCTAGCACTGCGGCGATACTTTTTCTTTTAATAAGCAAACAGAATGAAGTATGAGTATGATAATTTCGCGTTTAAAATACCATTTAGACCCCTGGTATTAAAAACAGCTTGCGACTGGCAATTCATTTGTAAACTCGCTTCAGTCTCGAGCACTGCCCGGATTATGCAATTCAGAACTTTGTTCCAAAGAAAAATGTAAAACAGAAAGAGTTCTTCGACTTTTAAACAAGAATCAATACTTCGCTGAGAAAGGGCGATTTATATTTCGTCACTTTTTAAAAGTCACATCGTCGCATCAATCGCGGCTGGTTAAATATGATGTCTCATATGAATACAATGTATAACTAAAAGCATTTTCGAAAATTCACTTATGCAAATTAAACCCAATATATACGTACAATAATCTGATAACAAAGCATACAGGAACACATCCATCCTTCATTTTCTCGACAAAATTTAATGATATTTCCTTTAGTGCTTTATCTGGTTATAACAGCATTTGATAACAGAGGGTTATACGAAGAATCTAAAAATGACTATTCCTTTTGCAGTAGGTCATTCTTCTTACCTTCGTTAGGACCATTCTTTAACGAATTTTAATTTCATACATTTTTGAATGAAAACTGAAATTCACTTCACGCTAGAAGTGTATGAAGAACTGTAATGAAAGAGGACGCCTATGTATGAAAATTTTAATTGGCAACAATGTCATCAACTCATCAATCATCTAGTCGTATAACATCCACATTGTTTAACAAACAATGTTTTATAATGATTATTTTGCAACGAGTACCGACTGAGTAGTTTTAACAAATATTCGTAATATTTTAATTACACTTGTCAAAATGATTCTTAAGGTATACATATTCCTAGATACCTTCATTAACACGATAGTAAGTAACGCATCCTCTCGTGATGACAGATGCCCAATTTGTTGTTTAGCAAACAGTTTATTTGACTTTACTGTGCGCGGTATTTATTGCTTATCACTGTTCACAACGGTTATAAATAAGTGAAAATGGCTACAATTAATTTTTAGGACCCGTCACAGCCTAACCAATAGTGAATCCCAAACAAATTTGTATAGCAACAAGCTTCTTTAGCTATCGACAGATCAAACGTCGAATTGGAAAAATCTGCAGTTTTTACTTCCTAAATGCAAGCTAAGGAAATAATGTAATCGAGTCCATTCGACGAATGGTCACTTTTATGTTTTCTCCACGTTTCATGACCCCTACTACTAGAATACGAAAAAAGTAGTCTCCCGTTTCCGTTTGTCTTTCTGGCGTCTGTATCGAATTTTATTAGACACTAAATCTCCGAAACTACTGGACCGATTATTGTTAAATTTTGTATGTATATTAGAAATATCATGTATATGGTTAAATGCTAACCATAATTTGGTTAACTAACAATTTGATGACGTCAAAGAATACCATTTTCCAATGATTTAAATATTATACAATGAGATACTCTTACACTTGTGGTGTACGAATTTGCTTTGAGTTTTTTCCCTAAATGGACAAATGGTCACAAAAAAATTTACACTTTTTACCACTAAGTCAGGATACACCCGTTCGTGGCCAGGCGTGAGCATGCGATGCCAAGGTTAGCCGTTTATTTTTTCTCTTTTTCTCTTGCGCTGTGTATTATCTATATTTATGACGTCATAACAAATTTTTTATTGATCAACTTAAGAACGGGTCACCCCATTTTATTTAGTAATAATTATAATAATAATAATATTCAGAACAATCTGTGCGACTGTGGCTTAATTAATAATAATTTTAGTTCTGTGTTTTGAGGCGATAAACTCATTCAAATCAAATAGATTTCTGCGTTACATATTTCCGATGTATAAACAAACATTTGAAGTTAAAGCTTGTTATTATTGTTGAGAGCCTATTTTGCCGTTGGTTATCTGCTTCCAATGTATTTTACATTGTCTTTATTTGTGCATTTAGCACAATCCCTTAGAAGGGGCTGCGGGGGTGTTGTTTTTACTTTATAGAGCTTGTCACAAAACAAATATCGCAAAATCTAATTTTATAATTTTTCAAGAAAGCGGAATTTGTTAGACTTGCATATTAGGAGCGAGGGACGTTCTGTCGAAGTGAACTTTGACCAATTTATGTACAGTGTTAACATTATCCTGTGACCAAGAACATAATTTTTTAAGTTGTTCGCAGTTTCCCTGTTAAATAAAAGGAAACAAGTAAATAAAGTTCTACTAATTTCGACTTTTCTGTCATGTAGTGCATAACACGAACAGAATCCTGCATTTTCTGAGCTAATTACTTCCATATCTCACTTCTAAATTAAGCGGAATTTTGACGATGACATACCAAATCTAAAATTAGTTAGCCCACTCCTGGATGCCTTCATCAAGTTCGAAATAGCAATAATAACAATTATAATAATTAATAATAATGGTTTGATTCTATAAATATTTGGTGGCATATTAGAATTGTCAAATACAATCGAATGTCGAAATGATATATGTATCTATAAATAATAAAAAACAATATAGACAATTATTACATGCGTAAAATAAAATACAAATGTGGGTTTTATACAATAATTACAAAAGTATTTTGCAGGAATTTATCTATGGTGTAAAATGATTTCTCAGCTAAACATCTTTAAGCTCTTATTTTTTATGACGTAGGAAATATGATTTTATATTTTAATTTCAGATAATCCGATTCCTTCATAATTCGAGATGACTTTACCTAAGGCAATCCAACAACTTTTTTATTTCTGGTGTGATGTTCAAGAATTTCAGAACCTGTTCGGTGTATACTTTTTAAATATGAATAAAAAGCGCCGCTTCTAAAATGTACAGACAAGTTAATGTTAACATTTGAACGAGGTTTGGCATGTGCGAGTGACCCAACTCCTGCCATTAATCTGATGCGTCAGATTTGCAATGTACTAAATTAAGCTTTCCCCTTCAAGCTAAAAATAACGGCGTTTCAACTAAGACAACCTGTACACATATTATTTGGATTTCATAACCAACACTTATAAATTTTGAGTCTAGTTCGCGACAAACTTAAGTGTTTGATTGCCATTTACTTTATTGTGCAGACACATAGCCGCAGCTGCGTGTAAATTATTTTACAAAAAAAATAATTAATTTATAATTTAAGATACCAAGAGATCGAAAAAGAAATTAGTCAAAGTTGACCATGCAAGAAAAGCCGTTTGTCTTAGTTTAAAATAATTTTTTATTAAACGTCAATGTTTTCAAACGAAATTGAAGCTTTTTTGTTAGAATCTTACTTCAGAAATTGGAGAAAAGTGAAAAACAGTGATTATGATTCATTTTTATGTTTGTTTTAAAAGTAGTGTCAATTTGACAATTTAATAAAAAAAATTAAATTACGACAAACGGCTTGTCGTGCATGGCCAACTTTGACTAATTTCTTTTTCAATCTCGCGGTATTATTTGCCGTTAACTGTTCTCCTGTTAATCATACCTCGGTTACACAGACTACTGGTTGTTGGTGTAAAAATATATTATAAGTTCATCTACCTTACTGTTTAGGGACTGTATGTTTAGATGGAAAATACTAACTGATGTCTTTATTTCGTTGATGGATGGAGCAAAATTGTTTAAGGGTCGATTATGAATTTTTCTCCAGTCTGCTGGGTTGTTCCTGCGTACCTGACAGTTTTCAACGAAAAAATCGAGAAATCAACGCGGTGTGGCCACAGTTGGGGATCAAGGCCTTTTTGAATATCTTCCAGATCCATACTGATTATAAAAGATGAATAGATAGATATCAGGTCTTTTAGAGTTTCCTTTTTCGACTGTTGCTCGCGGAATTGTCTTTTTAACTAACTCTTCAACATCTTTTATTTCTACTGAAGGCATTAATCGTGAAATATAAAGACTAGCTCTTGGAACGGATCTGGTTTTATTTGTTACGCCACCTTTAAACGTGCCTTTTGGTAATTTGGGTTCGCTTGTTGTCTGTGATAACCTTGGAGTTATATTTCTTGTTGATTTCTTCAGTGGATGGTTATATTGTTCCCAATTACAAATTCCGCCACTATCTTTTTGTTGAAACGGAATTTTATCATCAGATTTTTTGTCATGGGCGATAACTATTTCTTCCGACAGGGCCGTTTCCTTTTCACTGGATATGTTAAGTAGATTTTCGGGTTTTGCAGAAGTCCACGTCGATATTTGAGAAGATTGGCTTATCATTAGGGATATTATTCGTTGGAAACTCACGTGGATTTGCCTACGTAGGAGTGCTAATTCATCCCGCAGTGGTTGAATTTGTTTTGTTAGTATTTTCTCCATTACATCACTTAATTCACCAGTGCAGTTGATATCACAATTTTCGGTACCACCTTGTGTACTGACTTCTTGCTTTATTTGAAGCATAGTTCACTGTTGATAGAATTATCGCGTATTTTACTGAAGTGCAATGTTAAGCCTGTGACGGATAGTAATCATACTAGTGCAACGAATGACTTAACTGAAAATTAGATAACATTAATTTCGATGAATGGTGCAGATCCTTTCCAATATATGTTGTCCAAATTTGGATTATTTAGTTTTCAGATCAGAAAATAATGCATACG